TCTGGTGGTGAGTTGCAGCGTGTTGCATTGGCTCTCTGTCTTGGTAAGCCTGCTGATGTCTACTTAATTGATGAACCTTCAGCTTATTTGGACTCTGAACAGCGTCTGATGGCAGCTAGAGTTGTCAAACGGTAAAGTGTGAATGGAAAGAGTCTTTGAGACTGTCAATAGCCTTTTTTTTTCTTTTCTTTTTTTTCTTCATTTGAGACACATTAATGTATCTCTCAAATACTTTATTCTGTTTTCAGTTTTGTCCTCCACGCTAAGAAGACTGCTTTTGTGGTAGAGCATGACTTCATCATGGCTACCTATTTGGCTGACCGTGTCATTGTCTTTGATGGTATTCCATCCAAAACCACCGTTGCAAACAGGTAAGAGAATAATGTTATCTAGCTTTTCCCAGCAGGGTATTAAAGGACAATACATAGAAAGCATTGAGAAAAATAATCTGTAAAGCATCCCCACCCAAAGCAATTTGGTCAGCTGCACAGCAAACCAAAGTATGCTACAATCTAAGCCATTATTCAAGCAAGTGAAACCGCGGGTGCCATTATTTTAAAAGCCCCCAGTTTTACTTACCTGTGCTGTAACAACGCTAAACCTAACACACTTTTGGAAATAAAAGGTGGGAAATGGTGAGCTGTGTCTGTAAAAAAAATAAATAAATAAATAAATAAAAGCAGTGTGACAATATTTTTTATCCTGAACAGGCTTCTAAAGAGCAAAATTGGATAGTTAAAATTTGGAGTTCTGACAAAAGCTACAAATTAGTTCTTGTAAATAAATAGTGGCCTAAAATAATATTATGGGGGTTTTTTTTCACCTTTATACCAACAGCCTGGCTTGGAAATGAATTTAGTTGGAGAAAGTGTTTAAAAAATTCCCTGTTCAAATATATGTTTTGTTTTTAAATCAGAACAAGGATGTAGCCTAAAATGAGGCAGATTAATAGTTTCTGCTTTAGAGTATGCGATGGTGTTCTTCCTGTTGCTTTCTTCTAGCTTCATTAAGTTTTAAGACTTGAGCTATGGTAAGGTGGTGTTTACATTTTTTTTCTTGGCTTTTAATGATAAAGGGGTCAACACAAATGAAGTGGAGATTTAACTACACAGAAATAATCTTTTTATTAAAATGAACAGCGCTGATATAGTTATCTGTTGACACCTGAAGTTGTTGTTCAACTTGAGTATTTTAAATGTTTTGAGCTGATTAGGTAGTTAACACTTCTCCAGTATAAGACAAACTCAGACAAGATTTCATCAGGGTCATATTAGATTTTTCTCTAAAACTGAAAGGCATAGACTGTAAGGCTTTCGTTTTTAAAAATGTTCTGCAGAAACTCATGGGGCCAAAAAAACATTGTCCTGACAAAGATTGTTGACCACCAGACAACTAAAATTAGCTGAGTGCACAGTTGTTCTGGGAGCCAGTTCTCTCTCACAAAAGGTCTGGGAAGCATGCTGCATATAATTTAAGTGACTTCTTTATAGATCTGTAAACATGAGAATTTATTACACTTGCACTGATCTATGAGAACCCTCCTAGTTTGTTTATGCCCACAGCGGTGACCTCAACAACACTAAGACGTGCTTATGAGGACACAGATTATACTGTATTCTAACTGTTGCATTGTAATAATTACATAAAAACGACTATCAGTCACCACACAAATAACTATGCAGATATACCCTATTTCACTACTGTGGTGTGTATACCAATTAGTTATGCCCTCAATAAACTCCCATCAAACCTCCTTATCTTCTTGGAATATGTATCATTTAATTTATTGTCTTCCAGGTGTAACTTGGAAGATCTTATAACTAGAGGTGCACCGATATACTGGTCCATATCGTATCAGCACCAATAAAAGGAAAATTTACATTATTGGCCATCAGCTTTTTTGCCGATGTGGCTGATAATGTCACCGATAAATGCCACATGCATGTGCGTAGCCAGGAATGCAGCCTGGCAGCTTGGAGAGCAGCACCCTTCTGGTAAGTGTGAGGGTGGGGGAAGGGGCGTGAGGGAGGTATGCAGATTGAGGCCTCCACTGTGAGGGAAGGAGTGGGGGCTGGAGTTGGGGCAGGTGCTACCTAGGTGGGACGGGGTGCAGGATGGAGCTGTGGACAGTTTGCCTCTGTGGAGGGGTGGCTCCCACTGCTGCATGCGCCCCTGGGGAGGCATGTAGGGTGAGAGCAGGCTGCCTGCTGTGGGCTTGGGGGCTGTGCTGGCCTCTTTCCGGTCTGGGGCCTGGACCAGGGCTGCACTTGGGGTGGGCAGCAACAGCGCTGGAAGGGGGAGCTACGGTGGGGGCTACAGTGGATTTTGGGGTGGCTGCAGCCCCCCACTCTCCGTAGCCACCCCTCCCAGCACCGCCACTGTCTCCCCTGAACACAGCCCTGGCCCTGCACCCCCCTGGGAAGAGGTTGGTGCAGCCCCACAGCAGGCAGCTTGCCCTCACCCCACACACATCCTGAGTGGCACATGCCCTATATGCCTCTGTGCACAGCAGCCAGGAGCCACCTCCCTCCCCTGGATGAGCTGCCCGTGGTTCTGCCTGACACCTCACCCCGGCCTGCCCCAACCCCACTTCCTCCCTCACCACAGGGGCCTTGATCTGCCCCCACCTCCCCCCAATACTCCTTCCCTCCCCCCACAGACTTGCAGGCCAGACGCTGCTCTCCAAGCTGCCAGGCTGCATATCAGCCATCAGATTGGTATTGACCGATTATGGATGGTTAATAATTGGCCGTTGGTATTGGCCAAAAAAATCTTTATTGGTACACCCCTACATATAACTCCATGCTCATTTATGCTTGGGAGCCCAGTCAGGCTTGGTCTCCTTCCAGGAAGGGAAAAGGAGCGGGGAAAATGGGTTAAAAGCTAAAATCTTGTGGAACTAAGAAGGGCAGGTCGAGGGAGGGAAGCCTGCTGGAAGCATTTCAAAACAGTACATAGAAACCAATATTTTCCTCAAAGCCATTTGCAGCACTGGGCATACTGGGACAGATTTGTGAGTTTGTGAAAGGTCTGTGCTTTAAGGGGGTTGTGGGTAAACCTCTTTAACTCTGATGACAAGCAAATCTTGCTTTAGTATTTTAAGGCATCTGGTACATAATTCTAACATGGCTGGATGGTTCAATGGCTTTTTATGGGGGAAAACCATTAAATATTTTAATAATCTTTGCTCAGTGAGCATTACATATACCCAGTGCATTCTTCTATTTTATGCATTTGATTTTTTTCTCAAAGTAAATTTGATACAGATGAAAGCTGAAATGGTATCTTGTTTCGGTGTTTGGGTCTTTTGGCTGGTGTGAATATGTTGTTGTCTCAGCTCAAAATTACTTTCAGAAAAGACCCCAGCAACTCAGTTAACAAAAAACAAATCCAGAATGTCACTGAAAAATCTGTTCTGTAAAATAAGACAGTCAAAAAAAATTGTGCATCTAACACACTCAAGCTTTTCATATTGATAGTCTGGACTACATTAGCACAAGGGTAGGTTACCAGGTGTTTTTGAAACTGTTGGGAAATAATGAATGTTGTTTGTCATTGCATAAATGGTCAAGTATAGTATATACAGGCAGTTCCCATCCTGTTCTTAAGATTAAGAACCAAAATCTTCAAGATTGACCATTTAAAAATAGGGAGTCTAAAATCACATTTTAGGACTCAATGACTTGACTTCCAGGTATTCTTGATGCCTGTAATCCATATTGACTTTTTAGAATTGAGGGTGATTTGCTTCTCTGAAAATCAGGCCACTTAGAGGCCTAGCTTTTTGAAAGTCTTAGGTTTGAACATTAAACTAGAATCCTAAATAGAAATAATCTTGAGTATCATACTTATTTGCATTTAATCCTGTATTCAGCCTCAATCCCATTCTCTCTCCCAACCCTTTTTCTAAAAGTCCGCAGACTCTTTTAGCTGGTATGAATAAGTTCTTGTCTCAGCTCGAAATTACTTTCAGAAGAGACCCCAACAATTACAGACCAAGAATAAACAAACTCAACTCAATCAAGGTAAGAGAAACTGCCCTAAAGACATGGTTTTGTCTAGTGCAAGTAATAGCCTGAAAAATAAACAATGAAGTGGAAAAATAACAGAACTTTCTAGTATTTTGCTGTACAGCAGACAGAACTGAAAAGTGGGATAGGAAAGTAGAGCCAGAGTTGGCTTGTTTTCCTTCTTTTAATCCTCACTTTATATTACTTAAACTTGTACTTCATTTCAGCTCTTCAAATTTAGTTTGTCAGTAAGTGTTCTAAATGGGAAATATACTGATGCTGTTTCATTTTGGTTTTTTTAAGGATGTGGAACAAAAGAAGAGTGGAAACTACTTTTTCTTGGATGACTAAACACAAATCTGAGACTCTTCACTATGAGTTTATAGAAACACAAATATAAAATCTGAACTTTGTTGTATAAACTCAATCAGGTTTTAGAACACCCCTCTCACTGTGGAGCTAAAATGTTATTGCTGTGTGTACCATCAGAGGCCAGTAGCAGCATAAACTCTAGTCTGAGCAACAGAAACTGCCACTTCTTTATTTTGGTGATGTGGCCGTATTTCCCATGTAATGTTTCAAAATAGATACTTCTCAAAATATTATTGGTATAAACCTCTAGATTTTTCAAAATGTAGAAAGGTTTTCAATCCAAATGTAACTTATTCATGTACCAAACGCTGACAAGGTTTTTCCAATTTTAAAAATCTTTGAAGTTTACAAGGAAGACTGTCAAGCTACAGAAGCTGCTCATATTTTAAAAGCAAGGCTGAATCTCTCTGGGTGAGGGTTTCATAAATAAATATCCATCTAACATACAATTCTTGTTGGTTGCCTTGGCAGATGGTGTGTTATGAGTTCTTGGCTCGTTATTTTCTAAACAGTATACAACATTCTTTAAGCATTTCTATAACAGGAAAGTATTTGCTCAGTCTCCAGATAGCTTACATCACAGTATACCTTTCAGCTTACCCCTAACTATTCATTATTCTTAATAGAACAGAATCATTCTTTTAAAAATACTTAAACCCTTTCCAATTTAACTTGTATAATTGAAACACTGTATGTTAAATCCAGATAGCCAAAGACTAGGCTTATGGTAGGTACTGCTTTAATTATGAGCATTATTTGTGTGCTGTGCAGGCTTTTACAACAAGGTGGAAGAAGTAAAATTTCTTCAGCAAGACTCCATCTGCTTCACAGAAGCAATGATAACCGGTCCTCAGAGGCTTTTGATCACTGTCATCATCTTATGCTGCTGCTGGGTTGCAAAAAATAGTTTAGGGAAAATAAAAGTACCCAAACCATGTACTGTATCATATTAACAATCTTGAATCTACTAACTTGAAATAATGTCACTTTTTTTCCAAGCCTTCTAAACAAATGCATAGGTCTTTGACAATCTTAAGTTATGTAAACATTTCTGAAATTAGTTCTAGCTGGGACTGTATATTGCTTAGAAAATAAGTTCTATCCAAAAGTCTGACTTCTGTTTTTGAGAACAGAACATAAAGATGATTGCTTCTATTCATATTCTCTATGCGATGTACTATGGAAGGTAAGTCTTGCATTGTGTTCTGAAACTCCAGGTATGAGCTGCTTTTTAACTGTGAAAGGTGATCCACAGTTTGGCATTCCCTGGTATATTGCCCCTCAAACAAATGTCCTGGCTTCATTAATCATAGTAGGCAGTTATAACTGCCTTGGGAGGCCCTGGGAAAGGAGAATACTAGAGACTGCATCTCAAGTGCTGAGTAAATCTGAACCATGAGCTGGGAAAAGGGAAGAAAATGCAGCTAACATTCCTTAGTTAATGCAGCTTATAATCACTGCAGTGTACTGCTTTTTACTTGTATCAGTGTCATTGTATTCTGTACTCTTGACAAACCAAATTGCTTAGAAGCATAAAAAGTGAATTGGTGTAGTCCATTCTTAAGGCCTACTTGTCTTGCTAACTGGAGTTCCTCACTCTGAAATTGGGAGGAGTGGTAACATCCAGAAAACCTCACTAATTTGACTTTGCTTCCTATCAAGGACTTGTCTAAACAATGTCAGTGGCAGATTTCATGGAGGGGTGGAACTGAATGAGTCTCATCCATCTGAGTCTGTTGTTGCACTTTAGAGCCAAAGTTGCTTTCGAGGCAGCTGCAACCATATCACCAGTGGGTCTGAGGACAGCTGTGGGACATAACTCTGAGACAGCCTCACAGGCAACTTTTCTGGCTCTGGAGTGGGTCAGTGAATGCAGGTGGCCACTGCCCTACACTAAATTGTTTTTCTTCATCTAGCATCCTTTTCATTGTTCCCAGGTTCACTTTGAATGAACTGTTCTTTCAGAATTTTCTCAGGTACATGGAACTTAACAATTTAAGTTAACCTGTTGGCATTCTAACTTGAACATCCAAGAAATATGATTTCTTTGCTTGACTGCCAGTATAGAAGAAAGGTTGATCTGGGAGTAACTTAATCTGCTGCCTTAAAAGCCCTGTTGAAGAGGTCTGAGTTTTAGCAAATGAATTAATGGGAGCATGAGATCCAGCTCCTGAGCAATCTCTATTAGAGATCTTCAGGTGGATTATGGTAGTATCCGGTCAGATGTTTCTGGGTGCTTTGGAAATGGAGTTGGAGGAAACACATCCTTTCAGATCTTGGCTGTTTGCTCTTTCATCAGACATTAGAAAGCTAGGCACTGAACATCAAGGCAAGCAGATCTAGTAGATAGATAGTACCTCCTGTCCCTCTCTTTAGAGATGTATTGATACTGGTGTCCATTACAGCAAGCAAAGCCTATCAGCAGTGAATGTACATAAAGATGTGAAGAATGCCTAAGAGCTTGTGGGGTGCACGCCTATACTACCTCCAGTAGTATTTCCAGAAAATTAGCTATGTATTTGAACTGGCATAGGCTGCTCTTCTGTCACTTTTTTTCAAGTAATCCCTTGAGGTTCATGGACTACAAGATATCCTAATTCCCTGGAAAGGTACAAGTGATATTCCAGTAGTAGTAGATGGTAGTGTAGACTGTAGACACAAGGATAAGTTGCATGAAAGGGCCAGGAAGATGGGTGCCTGCCAGTCCAGTCTACATGCCATACCACTCCCAGCTCAGGCTCAAAAGAATAAAGGGTCATCAGGCAAACAGGTGGGGGAATCCTTTCCCGTTAGCAATTTAAGAATGAAAAAAAGCACTGGGGGGGTTAAATGCAAAGCCTGGCATGCTCATGGTAATTGATGGGGCAGTACCCTCTAGGTGGTAATCACTGGTAGTGTGAAGGATGTCACCTGAGACCACATATTCAAGTACTACAGAAAATTGGTGCTGTAAGGCTTGTTAGATGTGGATGGTACCACAACATGCTGCCCCAAATTGAGCAATGCCAAAGTAACAGTTTACACTGTAACTGGCTCTGAGGCACATGAAGTTGGTTGGACAAGGAGTCTCTTTGTACTAGTGTTAGTTTATTATGAAAACACTGCTTTATTTCTGGCAGTGCACTCATTTGTAGTCCTGAGAGTTCCCAGCAGGTATCAGCCCCTACTTTTCCCATAAAATAAAGCCAGATATCAGAGCACTTTCATTGGAAGTTGGTCTAGGGTATTCTGCAAGGAGTACACTGAGATTAGGAGCAATTTATCAAAAGTTAAATTAAGGCAGTGGCAGCATAAAGTTCTTTCATACTAGTCCACGTTAACAAAAAATGTTATCTGCTAAAACTCACTAGTGGGCGTTGCAACCTCTTCAAGAGGGGTAGTACTTAAAACAGGATGACTTGAGATCTGGTATTTCAAGCCTGTCAGAGTAAGAAACTCCCAGTTGTTGCTATATGAACTATTCTAGTATCCTACTGCTAGTATATAATTTTCATACAATATCTGGTAAGAATCTTGATAATGGAAGCAATGTTTAATAGTAATGTTTGGGGAGAAGAGAGCATTTCAGTCTGCTCCCAACCAAATACAGGACAAACCTGTAAGAAGATGGGGGAGAAGGTAGGTAAATTCTTCTAGTTAAAGGCACAGTCTAGCAGTATTATCATGGACTTCAAAAGATTTCAGGCTTTGGATTGCAGTGAGAATAGTATTTACAAATTTTATTTTCAAAATATTAAACATTAATATATCAATTTGGGAAGTATTGGTCAAAACTTTTTTAGACTCTGCTACAACAAAGCACCACTATTCAGCCTGTGAAATAAATGGAACTCATTAAATGCTATCCTGAAATCAGGCAGTTAAATACATAAGAGATTCATGATCGAATTTACCAGCAAGGCTGAATGATTTAACTATAAAAGGAGATACTGTCAGTCTTTCTTTTCTGGTTTTCTTTATCTAACCAACTTAAAGGAAGAGTTTATAGAGGTTAGTTAACTTGGTTACCAGGTAGTCTGCCAGGCAGAACAACCACATAGTTCAGTAATACATACAGCTGTATATAGGGTTTTAGCAGACTAGAGTCAAGGTAGTTAAAGACAAAATGTTTTAATATTTTTTTTTTATATACACAATGCAGCATCACACCATAGAGGCATTAAATATTTTATACATTCAGATACTTTCAAAACACTTTTCTTGACTACAAAATATAGAACATAGAAAAAGACTATTGAATATAATATGTACAAAAGTGATATGATAGCATAATTTCAAACCTTTCAAGAAGTGTATTGTTACACATAACTTCACATATTCATCAACTGTACTCAGTGTAAAGCCAGATTTAACATTGCCAAGTTCTGTCATTCAAGTAATTTCAACCAAAAATGGTGTTTGCAGCATTAGGACATGCACGTCTCTCCTACAATACCGTGTATATATTGCTCAAAGTGGTGCCATTGTGTGAGGTATGGAATGCCTCCTGGCTTGAATGGGAGCTGAGGAGGATCAGCGTCTTTAAAGGCCTGTCTTGCAGGCTGTTCCAGAACTGTGTGGGGGGTCAGAGGGAAAGGTGTTAAAACAAGCTGTATCTAGCTAGATAAAAAAATAAGTAAGATGCACTGAATTGAAAGACTTTACTTATACATTGCTTGACTTGCTTGGACAAGGGAAAAACAAGCAGTTAGGCTTTAGGTGCATAGTGGCTCACCCCTGAAACAAACTCAGGACAGATATAATAGACCATAGGTCCACTAACTTGACCAGTACAGGTTGCCTTAACCAAAAAGAAAAATAGTCACCTTTAAGAACTGAAGACAGCTGCTCAAATATTCTGTTGAAGTTCACTGCTTAAGTTTTCAACTGGCTAAAGTAATTTCTGAACTGTTTTCAGCCAATTTTGTTGAGCTTGCTGCCACACATGCTTTAACTTTACACTGTCATTTTTATCCAACTATATCAATTGTTGGTTTACACAAGAAAATACTTCTCTTTTTACTGGTTTACTTGAGAAAGTAACAGAAATATGTAATGTAGAAGATAGCTAAAACAATGCCAATTATGGCTGCCAGGACAGGACAGTAAACTAGGGATTCTAGCATTGCTGCAACTGCAGTGTTAGCAACTGTAGGAATTCAAAGAAAGACAGGGACAATGAGAATAGGACATAGTAGAAACCACCTGCTGGGCTGGAAGATATCTAGAGATTAAAGTGTGCATTGTACCACGTGACATCATGAGTGTGTGTAGGCCTTGGCTCCTACAGGAAGCTGCCTGTAGAGCTTAAATAACTATTGTTGTGCCCAAGGGAGACGTGCATGAAAGAGCAGATTGTCCCCAGAAGCATGGGCCTATTAGCAATGAAGTATGGTAGTACTAAGAGAAGGAAAGGCACAAAATTAAGATCAAAGCAAGAAAGCAATTCAAGCTATGCAAGTCTTTGTTTAGGAACAGACTCCCGTGCTTTGGTCAAGAAAAAAAGCAATTAATTGAAAGTTATACTTAAGGCTTTCTGATTAGGTGACATTTAAGATAATTTTTCTTGTCCAGATTAAGTCAAACTTCCTCTGATATTGAAGCTGCTTCCTTGAAGAAATACTTAAAAGTCCTTTCACCTGCAGCTTTAAAAAGTATGTTTTGTAGATGGAGAACCTGCAGTCAAGTTACTAGATAATAGACAATGTTGTTTCCCAGGTCTTGCGCCCTACTGTGCAGCACATGGCCTCCCTCTTTAAAAAGGCCAAAATAAGTCTATTCTAATCTCAGTGTTTTTATACAAAATAAAGCCACAAAAGATGAGAAGGTAGCAACTTCAACATTAACTTTTTATCAAAGTCTTTAACTGAAAATGCTATTTCTAAAATGTCTCAACATAAAATTCAACTTTCAGACACCAGAACAAAAAAAAAGCCAACTTGGAAAGTTACTGACCCATAGTAGTCCACACAAAGTAGCTTCTCAGCTATATTTATACCTTTAAAATAAGTAAGAGTTCAGAATCTCCTTTGGTGAACATTTACCTGCTGTTACTACCTGCATACGGAAAAGCTATCAAATGCAACCTACAAAGACAATAGAGCTTGCTCCCCTTTTCTTGGAGTCCTTAAGGATACGAATATTTTATTCCAGTTTTGTTTTTCAGTTAGAAATAAGTTTAGAAAAACACCATAGTCAGGCCTGGTGTATACAGTGAGCACTTGCTCACATAGCTTCAAATGACATAATGGCAACTTTTGTTGGTCTAAACTGAATTACCTTTGCCAGGGCTTCTGCCAAGATGACTGTCAGGAGCATAAAAATTGCACTCCTAACATTAGTGTAGGCATGTCTAAGACTTGCCAATATAGACCAGGTTTTAAGAGACAAAAACCTGGAAGGTGTCAGAGTCAAGGGTGAAAGCTGAGGAAATAATTTTTAGACTTCAACTCTGGGCCTTCTGTTTGTTAATTCCTATTTATTTTGAAGACTAAAATTTTAAATGAGACATGACTAAGTTTCACTTCTCTTGTATCTTTGATTAAGCTGATATGCCTGCACTCAACAAGGCACTTAAAGCACATGCTAAACATTCAGAGTAGCCACCTTGACTAATCAGATTCATATGCTTGAAAACCATGATCAACCAGGGCAGTAGAGCTGGCAAGCAATCTTAGACCTTCCTTTCCTCAAATCTTCTATCAGACAAGAGTAGACCGGCCTTAACCCTCCCCCAACCTTTCCAAATAATGGGGGGGAAAAAGAGAAGCAAGGTCAGGGGTGGGGGAAGCCTCCAACTATCACAGGTTTCAGATGTCAAACCATCCTAGATGGTCAGTCTTTTGCAGGTAACCTTTGAAAGGGGGGGAAAAAAAAAAAAGAACAAAAACCACGTAGCAGTACACTTCACAATTCACCAACATGCTCCTGTTTTTATCATTCCCTGAGGAAAAAGTCTAGAAAGAGCACTTTCTGACTTGAGATAAAGAATAGCAGTCCATAAGAACTAGATGAGGAAGTGTTTAGTCTAATGCCCATTCAATGTGCAGGAAAAACTACCATGACATTAGATAGGGCTCACAGCACAGCAGTCTAAAGAGCAAAACAGCTACAGACTATGAAGAGAAGCTTCCTTAAAGAATAAGGCTAAGCTTCAACTCATAATTGCTGAATGTGAATAAAGTTTAAAAGCATAGTTAGTATATACCCTTTCAGCATGTTAGTTTTCAGTAGCAACTCTACAGGGTAAGGCTAAATTTTGTTCTAAAAAGAATTTTTTCTCCACTCAAATAGGTTGGTCTTTTTCAGGTAAAAAGAGAACAACCCTTAGAAATCACTATGAATACTAATTTGCATATATTATTTTGCAAAAAGTGCCTAAACACTAATTGCTGTTCAGTGGTCACTTCACGAGTTCAGCTTTGTAGCAGAACTCAGCAGCTGACAATAAATGGCAATCCACTAAATTCTGCTGATACATACCATTTGTAGTTAGCAACGGAACCAGAAGACTAATCTGACAAATGTTATTACACCAGTGGTTAAAAATATATAAATATAATTTAGAAAGAAAGTGAAAGGAGAAACATTTATTTTTAATTGGGTGTTTTATACATGGCATGCATCTGAAAAGAATTACTTTGTCACAACTATCACTCAAGTTTCCTGATCAAAGGTATACAATCTCAGACATGAATAAAAGGGCACCATCACCTTATACACTGGTATATACAGAGATATAAAAATATACACAATGGTTAATTTTACAAAGCAACAGAGCTGAGTGGATATTGTGCACACTGCACTGTCTGCGTTTGGATAGCTGAATTCCAAACAGCAAACACAATCAGAAACTGCAGCCATCATCATCTTTAGAGGTCCGAAGACACAGCAATCAGAATTTTGACACACAGTGAAAAAATATAAGGCAAAAGCCACTTTCTTCTAAACTCTAGGGAATATATATTGTGAAAGTACACCTATCTTGTTTTAAAAAGTAGTTCCAGCAATGAGTTGTACATGCAAAGCATAACAGATTTGCATCATAGTGCAACAAGAACAAAAAGCTGAACAGTAGCATTTAATACAAACTTAAAAAAAGGTAACATGTATTTTTATGCGTCTCTCAAAATATTTTAGGATTTGTCAGTGCATTAGTGTTAAAGTGGCATAAAAAAACCTTCTGCTATTAACAGATGCAGAATTATTTTGGAAATGCATAGCATCTACATTTTTATTGTCTTTGTAATTAGTTTGTTGGCATAGGCACCATTCTAGTCACGCCAGCATTACGAATTCTTGGTGGAAACAGCCATTCCATTGAATTTCCTATCAATTCACACACAGCTACTCTTGACTGCTTACTTCTATTTTGATTTCAACAAAAGCTTTTTAAAATTCAAAAATATACCCTATGAATATTAAAAGAACTATATACAACATACCTAAGACACAAGGTTAGCTGGCTGCCATACATGTAATGCATTAAAGAGAAAACATTCAAGTTTGACAGATTTTGAGATGAAAGGCCTTTGGGTTGGAAGCATGTCAAAGACAACAGTGCGGTAGGCTGAGAATTCCTTTAGCTCAGTTTAAAACTAAGGCATTTTATGATAAAATACACATTTATATTTGGTGCAATGTTACTAATCAATTTAGACTCTAGGTCATGTCAAATGCTCTATTTCTGTCAATCTAGTAAATATTTTAAACCATCTTACTGTATAACAAGCTCACACCTTTGGGGGCAGGGGAAAAAGTTCAATGCTAAACCTATACTGTTTTTATAGTTTAAATAATAGCCTTATTTTCCACTTTTCAGATACTAAGAAAAAATTCTAAACCAAAACAAACTTTTAAGTTGCTAAGAAACTAGATGTTCAGAGTTCGTTTCCCCCTAGGCCTCACTTCGAGCGTACCCTTAACTTAAAAACAAAACTAAACCCCAGCCCCCCAAAAAAGCAACAACTCACCGGAAGTTTTTCCAAATATGTGAACCAAAACAAAAACTTTTTAAAAGTTGCCTAGAAAAAAATTGTTTGATTTTGTTTCCTACCAGGCCTCACTCTTTGAGCCTACCCTTAGCTTAAAAATAAAACAAAGAAAGGCAGAAAAAAACTCCAAATGCCGTGCCCCCCCCCGCCCCCCCCCAAAGTAACAACTTACCACACACTTGGGAAGATTTAGAAATCTCTACTTCAAACTAGTTTTTGCATTTGAAGCTCTCCAATAAGCATTCCTATTCCTATAAACATTCCAGTAAGCATTCCTATATTTGATGTCCCCTCTGACCATCTCCCAGGGTTGCCCTCCTTTTATCATTCCTATATGGCCTCCCTCTAAAGTTTCGATGATACTGGTAACCTTCATCTCTGCCTCTGTTGGGTGGCCCTTTCCAGGCTTCCTCACCTCTTGGATATTGGTATCCTCCCCTGCTAGGATAGCCCCATTCATTTCTAGGCCTCCTGCCACCTCCGTAGGTCTGATTATAAAACTGCTTCGGTCTGCCACTTCTCAGCATATCAGACACTTCATGTTCATCTTCAGAGCTCTCTTCTTTTGTTCTCTGGGCCCTACTTTCTCCAGAACTGGTCTGTACGTTACCAGCAGTCTTGGGATCTCTGGCTTTGTCTGCTTTTTCCTTACGGCTGGGAACAGTACTTTTCAGTTCATTTTTTGATGGCTCCGATAACGATGGCAAAGCACTTGACATCACTGTCTGTCTCTCAACACCCTGTATTTGTGGAGACCGGTTTGGTAATCCAGCCTTTGTTTGTTCAGCAGAAGCAGCAGTATATATTTGCTCCATCTTAGGCACCCTGGCTGAGGTTTCATTCAAGACATCACATTCACTGTGCACACTAGCCACAGGGGGTGGCACGGCATTGGAGCTACTGTCACTTTTAGTCTTCTGTAGCTGCTCCACAAAACTTGTTACAGGAACTGGGGAACTGCCTTCTTTAGCCAAATATAAGTTTTCTGAGGTGGTAGCAGTTGCCCCCTTGTCCTCAGGTGACATGACAACATTAGGTCTCACTACTGAATTTTCAATAAAACCTTGAAATGGGTACCCATACCAAAAATGAGGAAAGAAAGGAGAAGCTATTGGAACAGCTCCTAGAAACTGACTGTGTCCAAAGGGTGGTTGTGGGAACATATTTTTCCCTCTCAGTGAATCATCATAATCAGTATGAAGACCTTGCACTGGATTCTCAGACTCTACACAGACTGGTCCTTGACTTTCTGAAACCTGAGCTGTAGATATAAGCAGAGGCAGTGATGGAGACCTACTGTCAACCTGTGAACTCTGACCATTACATCTGGCCTCACTCTGCATAGGAAAGTGCCTGTTTGTCTGTGCAGTTTCACTTTCATTCGAAGTCAGCAGAGTCTCCTGGAACCAAGGGTTGTGTGGATATACAGGAACTGAAACATTTGGGTACATTCTACAAGCAGCTACGTAGGCCTGGTGCAGAGGGTACAAATAAGAATGTGGTGCCCACATGGGACAGCTGTATGCCTGTAAAATAAAGAAATGCTTCAGTCTACAGTATTAAAACAAATAAAAATACTGCACTAGAAGGAAGGCATTAGTTGAAACCTAGTAATTTTTTTCCAAGACAGAAATCTGAGAAATTTGTTGTTTTATTCTCATTCTTATTTTTAAATGCGTTTCTCCCTGCTGCTGTGGGGAAAAAAAGGTAAGAACTGGAAATAGATCATTGAATACGTTTTTAATGTTTAAATATAAACTTTTGGGATAATAAAGTGAGCTGTAACAATAGTTTCTATGGTCTCAGAACTAACTGTTCCATGAATAAGTCCACTCAAGGTAGACATGGACAGGCCGCCAAAAGTTTTAATCAGTGCCTCTGTGGCACAAGTCTGCATTAAGTCAAAATTTAATTCCCACATCTGCCCTATTTGACTTGTGTGCAATTCTACTCTTGACTGGTAAGAAAGGATACTGATACTTAACTATTAAAGAGACATCCCTAAACTGATGGTAGATGCCAGGGATAGGATGACAGGATATAGTGCACTTTAGTCATACCTTGTTCACATGCTCTCTTTCTAAAGTAGGACTGTCCAACAGGTGGCCCATGGGCCACATCCAGCCCCTGAGGGATTAGCATGTGGTTGCTGGTCCAGGTGCCACTCCCTCTACCACTGTCCTGCTGCTGTTGCCACCCTAGTCTCCAGGGTTCCCCTCCCTTCTCCAGCTTCTGCTTCCTGCCCCTGCCCTCTGGAGGTGGGGTGGCCCAGCACACACCCCATGGAGCTGAGGGAGCCCATGGCTGTCGGGTTCAGAGGGACCACATGGCATTATGTGGGGCTGCTGGTGTGTTGCAGTGGGGGCAGGGTGCAAGGGAGGGAAAGGTGTAGCCTCCTGATCACTCAGAAGTTGGACAACTATAGTCTAAAACATCTACTGCTGCTGTCAGAGGCAGATACTGGGCTTGATGGTCTGCTGGTCTGACCCAATACGACACGTATGTTCTTATGACCAGTAGATGGTGCTGAAAGACAGGGTGATAGACTTCGCCAGGGATCACAATACTGTCAGTGCACATCATAATCCAAAAGAGAGAGTCAGGAAATATTTAGATCTATGAAATGAAAACATTTTTTCTTAACACAGCATGATACTAATAACCTGATAATTTCCTGAAAATTAAACTGGATGTTGATCAACTATAAAACTTACCAACACTGACTTTTCATTTTTTAATTGGAGCTGGACATATTTTTTCACCTTTAATTAACTCCTCCACACTCAAACCATTGCATTCTGTAACTGAAGGGTCCCAAGTTTGAGTTCAGAGCATATTTTATAGTGAAATTTAAAATTTTAACAGGGATGGGTGCAGGATGGAAAAAAAATGATAGAAACTACAATGTCATGGTGTCGCTCTAGACGACACAACTATTTAAACTATTTAAGGTTAGGAGCGCATGCTGTTAATTAAAAACTTCAAATCTGACTAGATGCCAAAAATATGCCAGTATAAGATTATAGCATGTCAGTGGTACTAGTAAAATAGTCTGTGTGAACACTTATTCCAAAATGATTAATTTCTTCCAGTTTGCCTATACTTAAGTAACATACTTCCACATCAAATTAGTATTCAATAGGTCAAGAACATGTTATGTGGAATGTGTATGGCCATAATAAAAATAGGAGCCAATTCAGCTCAATGGAAGTACTCCTACTAAAGCATCCTAGTGTTTATAGGTATCAACAAGATGAACCTGGTTTTTGGCTGCTTGCAGATGTTAAAAAAAACAAACACAACAACAAAAAATAGCACTTTTCAGTAAGCCCAGTGCATGCCTAAGAGGCAGCGTGTTAATTGGATCTGGCTCACCCACTGTTTGTATAGATCAGGAGCTTTAGTGGGGCTCTTTTGGCGCTTTCATATAATAGCTGATTGGCTCAGATTTAGATAAAAGCACCAAAAAGCCCCACTGAAGCACCCTATCTATACAGATGCTGTGAAACTGGAAAGCACTAACATGTTGCTTCTTCCGGTAAAGCATGGTTTTTTGGGGTTGTTGGGGGTTTTTGAAAATGTCTGCAAGCAGTCTTTATGAACAGACACTACTTTTGAAACTTATTACTTAGCCCATACAGAGTTTTGTTAGATTTTCTTAACACACGCATTTCCAGATTTTCAAAATGCTTCATCTTCTCTTTAATAATCTTCACTCTGAACACCTTTTATGTTTCCAATAGTTGTTTTCAGATAACTATGGCCCTGATCCCAATTCATGCTATGCTAATACAAGGTCAACTATTTTCTCATAAAGGTATGTTTTACCCTTAAATTATTAAATGTGTTTACATCCTTAACTCCATCTAAGTGAAGCAGTATGGAAACAAGAACCAAGATACAACACCTAGAGAAAAACCTAAATCTTCAGTCATTTGGTTCCCTTTTAAAGTTCAATGTCAGATGACTGGCAATTCTTACTTCACCAGGGTTTCACTTCCTATATACACCTTTTACAGTCTGCTCTGCATGCTTGCTCTCATTAAAAATCGTTGAAATACATACACTATATTGAATGTAAAATCTGATGGGGGGAAAAATTACAAAACATAAAATAAAAAATTATTAAGTCAGTGTGGAGGACCTGAACCCCTCTGAAATGATGGTTTATCTTTATTTGAGGTTTATTTCTATTAGATATTTAATTTTGGGGTCTCCACCAAAATCTGCAGTGGATGGATACCTTTCACTTCATGGTTTGCTGCAGGTGTGGATGGTTTCATGGATTTTAGGGTTGGAAGGGACCTATTGGATCGAGTCTGAGCCCCTGCCCTGGGCAGAAGAGTGCTGGGGTCATGACCTCAGCCAGGCATTTGTCCAATCTCCTCTTAAATACCTCCAAGGAAGGGGACAGCACCACCTCCCCTGGAAGCGTATTCCATATTTTGGCAACCCTTACTGTAACAAACTTTTTCCTGATGTCCAATCTAGATTTGCTCTACTTCAGTTTTTTACCATTGTTTCTAGTTACCCCGATGGGCGTCCTGGTAAATATCGTATCCCCTATTTCCTGCTGTCCCCCCCGCACTGAGTTTGTAGACGACCACAAGATCACCCCTCAGCCTTCTCTTGCAGAGGCTAAAGAGATTCAGGTCCCTCGATCATCCTTGTAGGGTTTTTCCTGTAAGCCTTGTTGCAAGCCAAGATCATAATGTTCAGATTTGAAATAAGTTTGATAAACCACTATTGGGATATCAAGATTCCCATTAAAAAAGTGAAGAGGTGGAACCTTAAATATTAGTTCTGTGCATTCAAATCGTAGTCACTAATATCTTCTGAACGTACATCACCTAAAATGTTTAGGACATACTGTATTTTACTTACACCACACTAACACCTTCTTACTCAACACCCTTTTCTCCCCACTTCTCAGAACACCTAACCACTTTTCCATTTCCAATTTGTGAAAAAGATTATCCACTTATGGAAAGCAAATCTCAGCTTTAGTTACAGCTGGAATAGAACAAAAGTAAAATAATTAGTACCATGAACAAGTTAAAAGGTTTTGGATGGATTTTGGTTTTTGTAAACAAAAATTCTGCAAGCCCTCTAGCCTAAGAAAAAGGATTGTATAGACAAGCAGTAACATAAGTTGCCCTCTGTGTTCTGACGATTTGTCTCAGATGCTTCTAGGAGTCACAGGACAGCTCTACGTCCATGGTCCACTCAATTTTCCAACTAGCTAGCAACAAAATCATTACGTCTCATGACTGGTTTCTGCTACTAGGCAATATGGGCTAGTGGCTAGGGTACTGGACAGGGACTGGTCAGATCTGCATTCTATTCCTGGCCTAACAGATAACTTTGGCAACTCTTCAAGCCTCAGTTCCCTATATCTGTAAAGAGGAGAATAACAATACTGACCTCCTATGTAAAGGATTTTGAGAACTATAAATGAAAGGCAGTATAATAACCACATATTATTATGGACATACTTTCTATTTTAATATGAGCCAAACAACCATAAGATGGTAATAATTTTAGTCACTTTTGATTTGGACTGGATTTCAGCAACCTAGAGGCAAAAATGGATCCAAATCCCCAAGTCATTCGATCCCTGTAAAACTGCAAAAACTGCTGCTATTAACTCAAATTTTTGCTTCTTCCCTCTATTAAATTACCGTTTTTTGAATGCAGAAAGGATAATCCCACCAATAGAAATCTGGATATTTACCTTTATACCAAGATTGAAGAAAAATCGAAGAATACTTTTATCTAGGAAAAAACATCATGAATCAATTAAAACCTTAAAAAGGACATTGCACACACTTCCCTCCCCTGATAAATCAGGTCTCATCTTTGGTGGTTTTCAGCCACAGGTTGCAATGGACAATTTCAATTTCAGCATTTAAACCACTACTGCAGCCTGCTAGTTTGACTTCCTTGGGACTGATGCAAGTGATTGGGAACTCTACTGCAGTTTTAAATTTCAGTTTTAATAGAACTACTTCCCAGTTTCTGGATTAGCAGAGAATGTTCACTAAATGAACTCTCTATGTTCTCTATGAACTTGTTTTCTTCTGAGGATGCCACAACATTTTCCCAAGCCAATAAGGAAATTGCTGAGCAAGCTTCGAAATTTTTATTAAAGTAACATGAAATTCCATCTGCTACTTTCACTGTTGTAAAAGGGGACAGACAGATGTCTGGTCAAAGAAATCTCTAAAAAAGATAAAACTACATATGATCAGAAATTTGGTGAAATTGATGTCGTAAATAAAGAACTATGAAAAAGGTTCACAATAGGATTGTCATCATTTAAAATAACTGCCACGTTGGCAATGAAAGCTAAGGATGCACACAAGTTATTTAAAAAAGAAACGAGTTCTAACACAACAATTATTAAAACAGTTGACATAACTTAATCAATATATTAAGGAACTCCTTCCATTCTACTTCATCCAGATGTTATGTTCTTAAACAAAGATCGTCCATGGTGGGGACAGAAAAGGAAGAGCAAGATCTAAATTTATAAAAAGTGTTTCTTACCCTTAGGCAGATCAGTACTGCATAGGGAGTAAGGTGGTGCAATGGCTCTCTCTCCCTTTTCATTAAAAGGGAATCCAGGGTACAGTGGGTCCTGATAAGGATTCAGTGTCTGAGGCAAAGGCATTAAAGGCTGGTTAACCGCTTGAACAGACACAGGAACTCCGGCAACTGGAGCAGATGTTACCTGAGCCTGGGATACAACGGAATCGGGCCCCGTTGTCGGAGGCGGCATCAATGACGAAACAGGCATTTGGCCTGGAATACCTAGAACAAAGGAAAACATGAAAGAAACAAACATCTAACTTGGGCAAAGGATATTAACAAAAGCTAGAGAGAGCAAAGGATCAAGAATATAAACAGTAATATTTTTGGTTATAAGGAAATAGCTCTACATTAAAAAAATGAAATTGAGTGAAGGAAAATTTAGGCACAACAACCTTCAAAAAGTGGAAAAGTCTTTTCTAAAAGAATTAAAGAAAACCCATCATTTCAGTTATTAAAAACAACACCCCCAGCCCCCCCTTATAGGAGGAGACCAGAGATATTTGAATCTTAGAGCTCAATCTCTAAATGACCCAGTCTGGAATTAATTAAAAAAAACCTTGTTTTCACCTCTTAAGAATGAAAGGGTCATAACAAACGGTTTTAATTAGCAATGACACACATTTATAAAACAAGAATGGGAGCCTTTCAAACAAAGCCTAAGGGAGCTGAGTATCTAATTCCCTTAGGTTGTCAATTTTTCAAAGTGCTGTCGAGAGCCAGTCGCAAATCACTTCACATCCCAATTGATCAAAGTAAATTTAATACAGTACAAGATTGAGCCTATTTCATAATTCTAAATATTTTTCCTTCAAACCTGTTGGCCCATAAGTCGTTGGCTCATTTGGCCAAGCTGGCACAATGGCTGGAAGAGAAGGCACTGTGGGAGGCAAATGCACCTCAGAGAAGACTGGAGAGGCAGCTGGATTTACACATGGTAAGTGTTCTGTTAGTCTCTATAAAATTAAAGAGACAACAGGAAGTTAGTGGAGCTCACTGATGACATTTGGAACAGCCTAAATTCTATCGACAAACATTTGACAATTTCAGGTACACAGGCCACTGACCCAATAGAGGAACACCTTATAGTAACATTATCTCAAAAGACTACATACAAGAAAGGAGAACCCTTATTTTGCAGCCAGTACTGGTTTTACATGAAGCTCTCCCTCTGAAGATAATTTAAGGCAGAGGTGCTCAACCCTCCAAGCCCATGGTCAAAACGCAGCCTGCAGAGCCATAGCATCTAGCCCATAGGGCTCCCCACAGGTCAAGAAATGTGGAGGTGGGGGAGCAGTGCCATTAACACTGTCCCCCCTCCCCCTGCCAAATTCCAAAACTCTGCACAGCCAAGTCAGAGCCAAAGTAGCCCCATCACATCCTCCACACAGTCAGGTTGAAGCCCCATTGCACACCACCCTCCCTGCCCCCAGATGCTAGATGAGGACCACCAGCCAGATTTGGCCTATAGACAGACCAGGCACTGGCCATTCAGCCTGCTGGGCAAAAAGGCACCACTAGTTTAAGGCATGTGAGCATGCCTATGTGAGAAAAAAGCTTGCACCAACACTGTCCAGGATGTACTCATACTTCTGGTTAAACAAGGAGTCTGTCTCCAGAATCATCAATCTACCAACTTCCATAATCACTAAACTATTTTCCCTGCCCCTCCATCTCAAAAAAGAAAAGCCATTGTCTAAATAAAGCAAAACAGTGCTGATTAGATATTCAGCATATATGAGACTGTGCTAAAATACTAGAAAAATCAGAAAACAGCAGCAGTCTTGAAGCTTGTGAGTACTACCAAAATACACATTTAAACAATACAGCTAATTTCCTAGACAAGGTACGGAAGAAAGGTAGAGGTGGGGGGGAAAGAAAAGAAAAGGTTTAAATATTTTCACTTAAAATATTCAGTGTGAATTAACCCCTCAGCCACCCACTCAGAGTAGTAAACCTAAAATTAAATTATAAAGTTTTGGGGATGGAAACCATGTATTATTATTTATCATGATTTACTCTCAAAAAAAAATAAAATAAAATAAAATAAATCGGGGGATTTGGGTGTTACTAGAATACAAATATTTATTAGTAATAGATCTTCATTACACATGGCTGTGATGGTAAGGATAGATACACTTTGCCTTGGGCCTATTCAATGAAAAACCCAGAGGCTAGATAAACTTTTCTTACTTGTTCTGCTGGAGACAGAGATTGCGTCTTTGCTTGCTCTAAAGGAGGTGAAGCTTCTGGATATTTTTCATCTCCACCATTCCTCTAGAACAAAGTTAAAAATAAGGAAGTGTCAGACCTATTCTGATATTTTCTTTTATTTTAACAAAGAAGCATTGAAACATTTTAAATACACAAGATGGAAAAAGGTGAGCTACCACCATATACTAGTATGTTAATGTAACCTGATGTCTGTGGACAGACCACTGACAGCAGAACTAAAGGCAAATCAATTCTAGATCTAAAGTTGTGAGCCTCTATTCAAGCTACAAGATCAAAAGATGCTAGCATAACAGCATACATTACTGGTTCGATAGTAAATCATACAACAAACACATGGTTTACACTAGCAATGAGATCTGGTATCAGAAGTGCTCTGGTAGCCTAGATTGCCACACATTCCTATTTCAGAACAACCAATAAGGTAGAGGATCCAGGAACTGAGAATCAGACATGCCTCAAGTCTTATCTACCAACAGTTCAAAAGCAGCAGCAACGAATGCAGTTCCCTTTCAGCTTATTGCTTTATCCCATATTTTAATGCACTTACCAGAGAAAGAAAACAACTTAAAAATAGGATTGGTTTATTTATTTTAAATTACCTCAGATGAATTTGGCTCAAGCTTCTGATTTAAGTGCATCTGCCTGGATTCGGAGTCTGTAATACCAAAAGACATGATCTAGTAAATGCAGAATTACACCATGTATCACCTTCACAGCTTCAGCCAATACAAGTTTGTCTTTCCAACGTTAAATCTTCCCACACATCATGATCCTCCAGCCTATGTTACTTCAAATCAGTAACAATTTGGAAATCAAGGGCAAGAAGACATGACTAAAATAAAAAGAGCCGATTGGAAAACAAGAATTCTGTTTCATAAAAAATGTTGAAGTTCAGAATTTGTTTTCATTCCATATTGGGCCAAAACTTTTCCAAGTCGCTTTTAAGAGACAAGAGGCATAAAAACACTGACCACTGAGTACATTGGGAATGTAAACCTTGGTCTCCCACATAACAAGCAAGTGCTCTAACTATCAAGCTCTACTAGCCATTTTAGGAGGCCTCTTCCCCCTCTCTGGTTTAGACTAAAACAAGGTAATTTAATAGTGTTAGTCTGAAGGCAGGGTAGACATATGCATCTTTATCAGGGTGGGCAAGATGCAGCCCGCCACGCCATTCTATCCAGCCCACAGGGCCCCCGCAAAATTTAGAAAATTAATATTTATCTGCCCCTGGCTGCCTGTCATGTGGCCCTCGATGGCTTGCCAAAACTCAGTAAGCAGCCCTCTGCCCGAAATAACTGCCCACCCCTGATCTTTAGAGACTAACTAAACAAGATGGAGCAAGCACAAGCTTTCGTGAACATGGGTTCATGAAAGCTTGTGGTCTCTATAATCTTAATTATACCAGAACTACATTCTAGACCAGAGAAATTGTCAAAAAAATAGTTTTATCAAAGCAGATACATTTATAAAAAGATTTACATTTAATTAACTCTGTATTTTCTGACAAAAACAGTATTTTTACATAACAAAAAGGTAAAACAAAGCTTTAATGGTAACAATTTCTGAAGCATTCTAGACAGAAGGTTTAAACTTGATCTAATTCCTAAAGCATTAGTATATAGAGAAAAACTGTCTCGATATAATCTACCATACAAGAAGTTTTGATGGAAGCCTGTCAGTCCATAACAGAAGTTTGAGGGAAGCCTGTCTGGTCTACGGTGTGGCCAGGCAACCATTTCTGATCAACCACAAATCCACCTCTCCAGCCGTACTCAAGTGATACTCTATGCTATAAAACCTAAATAACTACTGCACAATGTATTTAAAAAAAAAAATCAGCCTATCCATAATCCAATCCCAGAACTCTGACAGGAGTCTCAAGATATTAATATGAAAACACGACTGGTTTCTACAGAGAGCTTACATACAAAATTTCAGACATAATGCAATGAAGAATGGTAACAAAAAGCAAAGAAGGGCTAGCAAAGGAAGGGACATGTGCAATGCAAATATGCAAAGTCTTATACACATAATGGTGTAGTAAAGCCCATATAGATATATTTGTTGGCTCATTCCTTAGGGGCATGACAGCAAAAGGTCCTTGGGGAAGGATGCGAATGAAAAAGAATAAAGGTCAGCTTTATGGAACATATCACGAAAGACATTCCAGCTAGGGGATAGGTGGTAGGGCTGTGTGAAACGGCACCGTTCTGTTTCGACTTGTGTTTCAAGGTTTTGACGGAACAGCGTTTTGTTTCGAATTTTGTTTGGATTCAAAACTGCTGTTCCATTTAGTTTCATCAAAACAGTAACGCTGTTTTGACATTTCGCCCATAGGCTATAATGGGGATGCTCAAAACAGCCTCTCATCCAGCAGGCAGATGGGGATCCGCAACCCCGGGAGGGATGCGGGGGCTGTGCCAGTCCTCCGGGGGTTGCAGGCCCCAATCTGCCTGCCAGATGAGGGAGGGAAGCTGGGTGCCACCGCCTGGGACCAGGGAACTGGGGAAGGGAACTGAGCCCGATCGCTCAGTTCCCCTCCTCAGCCCTTCCCCAGCACAATCATAATGCATCCACCTGTTAATTCTGTGGAGAGGAAGAGGCGTGGGGGATCAAGGCCCCAGCAGATCAAGGACCCCGCACTAAGGGAGGAAGTGGGGCTGGGGCAGGAGCTACCCAGCCGGGGTGGGGTGCAGGACGGAATGGCTTGTCTGGAGGGTGCAGGGCGACTCCTGCACGGGGCAAGGGTAGGCTGCCGCTACACACTTGGGGCTAGGGCTAGCACCAGCCTCTTCCCTATGGGAGCAGGGTGCACTACAGCCACCCCAAAATTTGCCATAGCACCCCATATCCCTCCTCCCAGTGCCACTGCTGCCTGCCCCAAGCACAGCCCTAGCCCAGCTCCTTGCCGGGAAGAGGCCAGCACTGCCCCTGTCCCCAAGCAAGCAGCCCACCCTCGCCCACGCCGATCCGGGGGGCACGTGCCCCCCATTTCTCCCTCAGGGGTGTGCGCATAAGTGGGGACTGCCCCTCCTCCCCCCATCCCCACCTCCCAGACAAGCTACTCATGGCTCCAGGGCCTCAACCTGCCCTCCCCACGCCCCTTTCCTCCCCATACCCCAACAGACTTACCAGCCCGATGCTGCTCTCTAAGCTGCCAGGCTGCATATCAGTAAATCAGACTGGTATTGGCCAATACAGCTCGTTAATAATCAGCCATCAGCATCAGCCCAAAAAATCTTTATCAGTATACCCCTATAAAGTACCCTTCTCCATAGTTAGTGTCACATATAAGAAGGAACCCAAACATGAAGTAGCAAAGATGAAAGCTGGGGACATATTCAAAGTTTAAATATAATGAGACTGCCAGAGCTAAAAGAGAAGACTGGCAGCTGCATTTACCAAAAACTTGCCACCGCAAAATTAATTCCATCCCCAAAAAGCAGAGCTTAGTTCCCCCATTCTCTCTCCAAGAAATACCTAGCAGATAGCTATAAGGGCAGAGGAAACAGAAAAATACGTCTTATAGCCTCCTTTCTGGCACTTTTTAAATTAAAAAAAAAAACAAAAAAACTCTTTTGCAATTCTCCCTCATGAATATTTACCCCCAACTTTCTGCACCCTCTTACTCTTGTTAGTTAAAAAATTCTTTTACACCAAAGGCTTTTGCCCTCTTTTTGTCTTAGAAGGCTCCATAACAGCAAATTTCTTTAACTTTTCCTTATTGTCAGCTATTGCAATACTGACCTGATACTAATTTCAGTAGGATTCAGCACCTAATCACTCTTGTAGTCCTAGATAGGCTAGCTTTCAGCATTTATGTCCTGTTGTGTGCCCTCCTAGATAGTATGAAAGTTTTACAAGAGGTATCTAGCTCATAGCCAAATCTACCTATAAACCAGGAAAACATACCCCCCTCGCCCCCCCCATGTCCAAAGCACAAAACACAATGCAACTGACTCAGTCTCTAATGTCAAAATTACCCTTATTATACTTAGTTGGGTATATAAATTACTGTTTAGGCACCTTGCCAACTTTGAAAATCCCACCCTGGTTAACTCAAAATATAAGGGGTGTTTGTTTCCTTGTCTGTTTGAAATGATACATAAAAATTTAATTTTTACTACTACCTTTATCCTTCCGCTCTTCTACATCTGATCCCCACTTGCTGTTTCTTCCCTCACTGACAACTGGGAACCTTTTCTGGTTGAAAGTATCAGCAGTCTGTGTAGCAGACTGATTCTGAAGAGATGGGAAAAAGCAAAAATCAGTAGATTTGTATAAAGTACCAGTTTTAAGAATTTATAGAACACTATTTCCTCACATAACCTTGTGTTTCTATTTAAAAAGTCTGTCATCAGCAAAAGGCAGAGAAAAGCAGCAGCTTTAGTATTCCAAATATGCTAGACAGGTAATGAACTTAGGTGGAACTTTAAGGATGGACCAGGGGATCTTATGTCAAAGTGAAGAGCTTGTATAATTAGTCCACATGAACAAATTCTGAGGCTTTGTTCTACTTTTAGAATTAGGATTTTCCACTCCAAAAACGTCACGCTCCTCTATTATGTGACCAGTGGCATTACAGAACTAGCCATGAAGTCCAGAAACAGCGACTGCCTCCAGTCTAATCCTTCCCTAGGAAGTTCCAGAAGGTGGTCTTAAATCCTGATTCTTCTCTCACTTACATGGATGCAAGGGAAGATTAACACCACTGAAGTGCTTAAAGCAGAACAAAATCAGACCCCCTTACTTAGAAAGTAAGTCATCTCCACAAAGACATGCGAGATCTCTCTCAAGCACCAGTCTCCTAACTATGATACATCTGTTGATACTTCAGTCCAAATACCTCCCTTACAGGCAACCCCTGCTTAGCGCTCTTAATTGATTCCTAAAAAACTGAGCGTTAAGCGAAACCGAAAGTATTTGATGACCCAAGATGGCGACCACAGTTGTTTTTAATGACCCATGATGTTGACCATGAGCGTTATAATGAAACTCGCTGAGTGCTAAGGTAAATCGGGTATCAATTTAAAATGAGCGTTATAGCGCTAAGTGAAACAGCATTAAGCAGGGGCAACCTGTATTTCTGTTTTCTGCCTGACTGAAAATAAAAGTCACTTTTCAGAATGATATCCATTTAAAGAAAACAGCTTATTACCCAGCTTCTTCTCTCAAAACACACACTGTATAAATACATACTTTGCAGAACTAATGTAAGACAAGCTATGGGAGAAGGTACTGGATACAATTCTGGCTTAGACCATCAATAGAATAGTTTTAAACAAAGGACCAAATTCTTTCTTCAATTAAACTTATACAACTCTACTGAAAATAACTGGGTTCCAAAGGTGTAAATGAGAGCAGAATTCAGCCAGAAGAATCTTCCCTACTGATGACAACAAAGTTAGAGCCCTGCTTGATTTTCAAATCCAAATAGTTTTCAAATCCAGCTGGTTTTCACAGCTGGCAGTCTGGAAAGCCACTTTTCAGGAAAATAACTGTGCTTCAGAGCAAATCCTAACCCTACCTCTACATAACAGAAGACACCAAGCAGAACATTTTCTGTGGTTCAGCTGTATGAGGGAATGACAAAAATTGTATAGGAGGTAGACAGCCCCCCTTCATTCAGACCACATAAGACGGAATGCACCTTACATCACAATGCTCATCAGTAATCTGGGTGTAAAAAACTACAATGTATCTTAATCTAACAACATAAATCTACAGAATTATATTTACTTACTCAGCTTTCTGTAGAAGAGATGCAAAGAGATGCATCTTTAACTTTTAAAATGTGTAATGAGAGAAGTTCACAAAACCAGGGCTTTAAAACTACCAAAATAATAAATTCACAGATAAGTAGCCATCATTACATGGTTAAGAAGCTGTCTTTAAAATAAGCAAGGAAGCATACATACAGATAAGGCAGGAAAAGCCTGCTCATCCCTCTGCTGAATCTCATAAAGTGAGCGAGATTCTTCTATGGCCTGTTTTTCTCTACGTTCCTCTGGAGACAGGCCAAAGTAGTTACAATCTCTGCTAGCATAATCCAAGTCTTCAGTTCTCTCACGGTCTGCTTTTCTGTGGAGAAGTGGAAAGAAAAAGAAGAAATGCCTTTTCAAAGAAATCAAAGAGTTACCTAGTGCGAGTGTTTAAACCAAGCACTACACCAAAATTAAGAATTTTGGGGGAAATGAGAGCAAAAAAACAACGTATGGCACTAGTTATACAGGTCACATGAAGATCACGTCATACTTTTAAATGATGCCTATCTATATCTATCAGGATTAGCAGGGTAAAAATAAATAAATAAATAAATAAATAAATGCATAGAATAAGAATATTCCATCTACAACATACTCCATTTTAGTAACTTCTGGAAAGACTCTAAGCCAGCATTTTGAATCATAGTCATTTGCTCTTTTAAACAAGAAGAGGTGTTCCCTCTCCCTATTTAACATGATAGTGCACATCCTACTGTTCTAATATAAAAGGAGGGGCATAATTTACTGGGAGAAATAAATAACTACTAATTAAATGCATTTCAAACAACACACATAACAAAAGCATTTTTTGCTCATGTTAACATTTAATCTGAATTTCAGGACAAGCTCGATAAAAAAAAAGTCAAGGGCTTCTGTGCTCTTAAAAACCCTATAATTTAGCTTTCTTAGCTAATTTTCCCATATTGTAATCAAGAACAGTACTCAGATCATGAACAAGTATATGTAATTGGTTGGTATCCAAGGATGATAGGAATTTTTTTCTGTGAAGGAAAATTAACATTTCAGTTGGTTGAAGCACATTGGTTCTTTTTGCTAATGGCTTTCCCCGTAAAGGGCACTTACACAAGATATTTTTTTTTTTGAGTGATCAGGCCTCTGAAAGTACTCTACAGCCATGATGTAACGCACATGCACAGCTGCAAAGCACTTTTAAGATGGCGCAAAAAATGAACCCTCCTCAAATGAGGTATTAGATGAAGGTGCTCTAAAGCACAGCACCTTAGAAAACTTGGGTTCTCTCCAGGGTTAATTTTTTGCACTCTGCAGGTTTCTCTCAGCAGGGGAGGGAAGGGAAGGGAGAAGCTGTCAGCTGGGTTTGGCCTGGTTGGAGCTGGAGGTGGAGGGGAGGGTGAAACAGAGTCCCCTAGCCTTGCAGGCCCCCCCCCCTCCAGCTACCCCGACTGCGGTATTAAGGGAAGCTAGGCCAGGCCCACGAGGCAAGGGGAGGCTCCCTTTCTCCACCCCCTTGTCTGGGCCTCTTGACAGCAGCAGCTGCCAGCTCAGCTCAGCCTCACTAGAGTAGAGGGGTGGGGCAGAAAGGAGCCCCCACACCTCGTGGGCCTGGCCCAGCTCCCCCCCAGTACCCCAGCTACAGACTGTGATGAGATAGTGATACAAAGCCTTGAGTGCTGCTCAACGTATGAATACCTGACAGAACAGCAGTCTTAACCACCTTCCCCTACAAGTATGGCAGACTCATGAAAGATACTCCCAGATGCAATGCTACCAAATAGGAAAACAGTAATGGAGTCGTAAGGACTGCAATTTTAAGACTGGTCTAAAGAAAAATATTCTTCAAATAAGTATCAGTTTGCAGTTGCAAGACACCAGTTGGGATGCACAAGAAATAGGCTTTCGTGGCTAGCTGGCTACTTATGGCCCATGAGAACTACCAAAGCCCCAGGTAACAGACTGATTGGTAGTTTTTACCTTACAGCCTGGGAAGCACTCCGGGAGCCCAGAGTTTTCTGCTCTGCAGAGGTCTGCTGAGACTGTGGCCCAGAATTTGAGAACTGATGCTGTCTGGTTCCCACAGCATGCTGAAGTCGAGGAGGTAGAACTGACTGGGTTTTTATTGGCTTATTTTGATTCTTTGGCCTTCTGCAGTCTGCATCTGACAAAGGCAAAAACACCATGTAAGATTTCTCACAACTACTGGAGAAGAACCACCCGCTTGACGCAGTTTCTGAAATTGAAGAAGAAGGGGAGAAGAGACTCGTACCAGGCTGTACATTCTGACCACAAGTTGGAGGGAACTTTTTTATTTTCTTCCCTGACACAGTGTTCCAGGCCTCCATGGGGGATGCTTGTGGAAGAGGTTTAAGGCTCTTCAGTGACACAGAATGCCTGCAAGAAGAGGAGAGGAGGGAGAAGGGAAGAAAAAAAAGAAGTAAGAGAGTTCTGTAAAACTGCACTGGGTTTTGGACAATTAGTACCAGATGTTTACTAAGACAGATGGATCTTTTTCTGTTTCTGGGAGAATTATGTTAAGTTCTTTGTTCTTCATGTTCTACCCATTGCATGAACTTAATCATACAAGGATGTAAAACCGTAATAATTATTTTTTTTTTAGTCTCAGGCACAGCAGTAAGACTCCAGTTTAATCAGTTTTCGACAATTTGTTCAAAGTACATAAAAATTCAATTCAAAGACAGTATCTGATAATAAAAATATCCCAAACAGACAATATTCTTTATAAAAAGGAGGGAAAATAGCTTATGAACTTTTACATAAATAGATATTGGGACATCCTCAGGACAGAGAGGGAAAGCAAAAGGATATTAAGAATATTTCAATAATCTTATTAGTGACTTTACCTTTTGTCCCTTTTCACTTAAAACAAAAAAAATAAAGAAAAATGTCTACTCATTAGCACTTGTTAGAGATATATGAACAAAAGGTGAAGTACTTATGTTTGATTTGGAAGTAACAGGGCTTTTTCCTCTAAATCTATTAATGATATTATGTAAAGCAGCAAACTCTGTAAATTCACCAGAGCACAGCAACAGATTCACTGATATGGACAAATGTAGCTTTCAGTCGCTTCATTTTCTATTGATCTTTTTTTAATCTAGGATGACAGTATGAACTGAAAGTGGCTATTTAAACTACTCAAAGGCGAGAAATTCAGCTGTATTATAGCTGGTCAAGGTGAACTACAAGTACATGTTATTCCATGTACCTGTTAACACACAAAAGGAATTGTATAACAAAATTTGCAAAGTAAGGTACAATTCTACAGGTTATCAGTTACCCAGAATCTTACTCTTTCCTTTCCACACCATGAGTAAAATGTTTCCTGTCTGGGTTCCTTTCCCCAAACGTTATAGGTCGGAGAGAGTTCCCTTAACAACTCTTTTAATCCCTGCCATGTGACAGGAATTGTTCTGTGAGAGCAAGCAAAAGAAAATGAATTACAGCACCTGCAACCCTATCTACGAAATGGTTCACCAGATTTGAGCGATTAGGTCACTGCGAGATATAATGTGAAGAGATAATTTTTAGTTTGTTCAGCGCACAGCTCTTTCTGCATGAAGTCAGAAAAAGAAAAGAGCTGATCAGCTATTATATTAGAATGGTATTCCCTCTCACAGCACTTTTAACACAAAGTTGGAGTTGCAGCATCTAATTACAGAAGTACTACCAAATTGTGACAGTACTGTTCTATTTAGGTGTGGCATTTATACAGAAAACATTCCAATTTGAGTTTTTAAAGAATAAAAAAATACAGTTACTATAGTATAGCTCCTGTGTGGATAGTGCAGGAGAAAGACAAGGAAATTCACACTTTTGTAACAGATATGTTCAGAGACAGTTTCAGTTGTTCTTGAAATGCATCAAGTTCTTTTCTTGAACTGGTGCTTCAGAAAAATGGTCAAGCAGATGGTGTTAAACAATGAAGAGGAGCCAGATGCCTTAGTTAAATTCTACATAGCAAATTTATACATGACAATGTTGACTTACTTTGCTCCAAGCTCTTCCACAAATACAACAACAGGTCCATTCTCAGAGCAAACTTCTTGGATATGGGCGTTATAAAGTTTTCCATTGTGGTCTAAGCGCACCTGAAAAAGCGTGATACAGAAAATACACTGTACTAGACAGATCATATAAAGAAAAAAAAAAAAGAGGCTTTAACTCCTTGAACTACCAACAATATAACATAATTCTTTTTGGATGTCTCCCAGGTCATATGGGGAGAAAAAAAATGTCAAAACAAACATTTAACCCATTTATTTATTTATTTATTTATTTTTTACAAGAGAGCATGTACAAAGCAAACAAGTATCTCCCTGACATCATTACTGACTTCAAGAACCTGAGTGAGTGGAACAACACTTGGGGGATCAGGGGAGGAAATCAGTAATGCATCAGAGGCAAGAAAGCATTTCTAAGGCACCATTCAAGTTTGGGGGGTAGGAAAGAGGGTGGAAAAACGGAGTTCAATGCCCCTCTAGTTACTTCAAACCCTGGCATAAAACATTCCTTTTTAACTTAAAATAGAAAATCATTAATCTACTCTCATTTAGGATACTAGAGGCTATAACCAAACAGCTACTTAATATAGTTTCACGGTTTCCAAAAAACCCATGAAAAATGGCATTGTCCACAATCACCAAGAAATACTGCATTGGTGGCGATTTCCCATGAAATCAACCTTAAAAAATACCCCCAAAACTAGGGGTGCACCGATAGATTTTTGGGGGACAACACCAATAGTCAATTTTTAAGAAGGAGTACTGGACAATACCAATCCTATCTCTGATACAGCTGCATGCAGCTGCACGCACGGGCATTTATCAGCCAAATTATTGGCTGCATCGGGCCAATTTCTGATACAGCCAATTTTCTTTATATTGGTACCAATCCAATATCGGACCTCTAAGAAAAACGCATAATATTCACACAATACGCTATTTGTCAATGTCCCAGTGCTTACCGGAATAGAAAGACAATGCGACAAGCACTGAAGCAACAACAGATCATGTAACTGAGACTTACTGTCTACTAGTGATATAGACGAGCGTTCTCAACCTGTGGGTCAGGACCCGGAAGTGGGTCACAAAAATATATGAAAGGGTAGCAAACAAACTTTAAAAATGGATTCTTCTTTAAAGAAGAAAAATGTGGGAAACCGTGGCTTTTCCCTTGCAGGCTTGCAGAACCCCAGCCTGCAAGGGACTGCTTGGGCCCCCCCCAACCCTACACACACCCTTACGGGTCCCACGCACTCACCCCCAGCCCCACATACTGTGGGGTTGGGGCCTTAGGGCAGGGGGCAGCAGGTTGGGAGTGAGGGGCACTGGCTTAGGGCTGGCCATCGATGTTTACAAATGGGTCCTGGTACAAAAGAGGTTAAGAACCACTGATGTAGACTAAGTGAAGATGCCAGTAAGTGAAGTGAAAAATGTTTCTATTAAGGTTAGCACTAAATAGTAATTCTAAACTTTTTGTAGAATGCTACAAATAATAAGTTACGATGGTATCAGTTATAATTCATATCATATATACATTAATAATATATTTAAATTTAAATGTAATATTTAAAGTTACATGATTAAATTGTATAATATAATTTATTTTCCACAGAACTTGCTATTATATTTATACAATATATGCCTCTCCATCAATCAGTGGTGAAGGGAAGGACCGCCAGGAAATGCCCACAGAAGTCAGCTCTTTAGTCAGCGATCAAGCTGCAAAAAATGCTTTGTCTTGCTGCAAATTAAGTAAACACTTAGCTATAAGTCCTTTCAAAAATTACTTTTTTTTATTAAAACTGTAAAATCTTCTTTTTTTTTTTAAACAGATACAACCATCAGCTGTCTGCAGAAAACAGATTATTTTTGTAGAGCTAAATGTCAATAAAAGGTAGAAAATATTTTATAGGCATTTGGCATACTGCCAATACTCAACACACTAATCACATTTCACTGCTTGCTTGTCAGTAGTTACTTGACCTGCTTCCCCTACTTACTGTTGGGGGGGGGAGATGCCATCACTCACTGTTTGTCATTACCTGTCCCCCAAAGGTAAGCGTGTGTTTTCTTCTAGGTTGGCGGATCTCCTCCGGCGGGCTTTAAACTAAGCTTGTCAGGGGGAGGGGAAGGGGAGGGCGGGGGAAGCTGTAGACCAACAAACCATGTGGCACCCACAAGGACAGCACAGCCGG